CCCATAATAAGGATTATAATATTTGTGGGTCCCCTTATTTTGCGAAACTACCATGTAAGGACCTGCCTAACACAGACAAGCTTGCATCGTGCCGTCCAAGCAAATTAGCACTTGCCAGCTTGCAGGCCACTGCATTATGGCGACGGGATTGGAATGTCCTTGACTACTACAGGCGGGATGGTCTAGGCAAGAAACTACACTCATTGCGTATCCGATGCTGCGGCATTTAGTACTTCCAAAGCCACTGGCAGTATTGAAGCTTGATTTGAGCTTGAAATTGAGTACTGCTTGCCACCTGCCGTCATCTTGCCGTCTGTTCTCACTTTGCCTGTCTTAAGTACTAATGTCAACAACAGCGCGAAACTCTGCTGCTTCCGCGCGGTGCCTAGAAAACCTCACCCTGTGCCTATACCAGGACAGGTGCTGCTTCAGAGCTCTTCTCCGAAAGTACCAATCCTGGATCAGCTGCTTGGATTGTGGCCATTGAGAAAATCAGCAACTTGTAATCATATCCACAAAAGCAGTATTACCATTGGACGTAAAAAAGAAGAACGATGGTAATTCGATAGTGCTTCTCTGCATAGATGAAGCAAAACGCTAGAGCCATACAACATGGACTCGCGTGATTGCAAAGGAAATGTATTTCGCTGACTCCCTTATGGAGGAGAAGCGTTTCTGCTGGGTAGACACGCTTGTGAGGTGACACGGTGCTCTGAATCAGATCCATGTAGCTAAAGAAGAGGGGTTGTTTCAGCAAAGAGGAAGACTGCTGAGAGTGACGAGAGAAGCCGGGAGGACCGGGACGGCCGTCCTTATGCTGCTGGTCGCCTGCGGTTTGCAAATGCGGAGAACATGTGCCTTGGCTCAGACTTACAGTTCGAGGCAGCCTGCGCTTGGAAAATTCAGAATCTGAGGCATCCTTGGCATCACTTGCGAGCGGGAGTCTTTGTCTTTGAGCTCATGGCAACCAAGGCGCACTGCATGATGACTGCAAAAGAGACATTCTGAGAGTAGTTTGCAAGGTTGCGCAGAGAGGCCGAGGGCCTGGCTCGTACATCCTGGACATCGGCAGTATAGGAGCAAAACGCTGATGGCAGTTGCGGTTCACTGCAAATCACACGCAACTCCTTGAGCCCCGGGCCAGGACGTGCTGGCAACGTCAGTGGAACGGCAGGGCTGGACCGAAACTACAACGAGGCTGGTGCGGAGAGTCACGCTGGCGAGCAGTTCCTCTCATAGCTGCATAGCAGAGGGTCTTCTTATATCGTGGGGCTTGTTATCCGTGACACAATCGACCGGTGCTGCCCGGCCATCGGTGAAGTCCAAGCAAAACTCTCCAAGGGAGTGGGGCAGGTCTCAGCAGCTCAGTGACAGCTGCATAGGGGGGGAGTGGAGAGAGTGCCGGGGAGAGGACGGAACGGCGGAGGGGAGAGGGGAGCAGAGGGGGCCGAGGCAGGGGAAAGGGATTGTTGAAGACCAAACGTTCAGCTGTTCTTTTGTTCTTGCGCTTCATTTTCTCCTTTTCGAAAGATCAAAGCCAATGTTCCCATTGCGCACATGGTCTGCATATAGGTAGCACCAATTACATGCTTCTGGGGCCGCGACTCAATGGTAGTTTCCCAAAATCAGGGGACATCAATGTAGACCACAATATACTGGGTGATTCCCCCTTACAGTAACAGTTACCACGAGGGGTAATAGGAATTATAATAGCCCCGGAATAAGGCCCCCTTTAAGGACAGTTACTGGGTGGGGGAATGACCCAACCAATAAAATACAATCAGTATTATAGGGACCCCCACAAAGGTACAGTGACCCAAATTGTGGGGAACCTTCAGCCTGAAATCCTAAACCCTATATGCGGTCACGTGCTTGCGCTATAGAAGCCCTTTAACCCCTACATATCCCCCTTTAAGGGTTTAGGGTTTAGGATTTAGGGTACCCCCTAATTTACCCTACACCCCAAACCATGAACCCTAATAGCAAATGTGAGCCCCTTGACAGGCCATCAATCCTTACTACGCTGCTGGGGCTGGATCCAAGGTCGGAGCCTTGATTCCCAAGGCTTTTGATTTTCAATATACTACTGCTGTTAGTATATTCTTAGTATGTTATCACTGTATTATATTACCACATTATGACTACAGTAGTACTGTTATCTCATTTTTGCCTCTACTGTTGATATGATGATGATTATTACTATTTGTTGCTAGATGTTATCAGTATCTTATTAGTATATTATATTACTACATTTGTCGCTATCTTGTTTTCTTGTTCTGATTATTAGTGTGTCCCACTTGATCCGACAGCTGTCTTCCCTGACAGGATGCGCCCTCGCCCGAAATCCTGGAGGAGCTTGGCAGCCTTGACAATGGCTTCGCAGTGCTGAAGGCAGGACGTTTGTGAAGCGGGTAAAGTCCACTCCGAGGAACTTGCGCATCACAAGCATGAGATTCTGCTTCGCGCCTGCTCCCACTCTCAATTCGCCGTGGTTTTTATGAACTGCAGTGTCAGCCTGTGCGCAAAGGCTTCAGCATATCAATGCACCATGTGATGCCATCTGCATTGAGCACATTTGCAGTGTGTCACTCCTGTCAAAATGCTTGTGCTATGGACAGGGATGAGAATCACTCGCATTAGCCAGTGTAATCGAATCTCTTAAATATGAATCTGCATAGCAGCCGTCAGCAACATGCTTCAGTAAAGGTACCGGAACCAGTGCGTGACAACGCTCAAGAGATGGCATCTTTGCTGTTGCAATATGTTGCAATGAAGATTCGCAGTGTTCACAAACAGTTGAGCGGGAGTCAGCTTTCTGATAAAACCTTCATGCCCAATCTCTTTTGACTCCCAAAATTTTTTCATCCTGACCCTGCTCCAAAACCTTACGTAGTCTACCCAGCTCCCAATTTCTTCCTACTGAGGCCTCTGATCGCTACACAGCCCTAGCTCAGTCTTGCAGATCCCTGTAAGGTTTGTTTGGAGCTTCCGCCTGTTCAGCTCACATCCTGCTCAATCTTGTGAATCCTTGCTGCCGGATTGGACCGCTTGCAGGGACCCTGACGTATCACGTTCCTTTAAAGTTGGTAAGGAGGTCACGTACTGTTATGTTGGGGTTATATTGGGGTAATATAGGGTTCTGTTGGGTATATTTGGCAGGCAGCAATCGCCATTCTCAACCGGCATTATCCCGGCATCATCGGCAAGGTGTACTACCTCAACAGTGTACTGGCCCGAGTTGCAGTGCGGCTTGCGCGTAGCAACATCTTGTGCGCCTGCTGTTGAGTAGTTTCCATTTTCTTCTCCATAATCCCTATAGAACCCCTATATAATCATCCCTATGATATAGTAGTTCCTATCTTGTTTTCCGTTATCCCTATACCCCTATATCACCCCAATAGACAGTGCCTGATCAGGACATGGTTTTCTGGGGGGCGTTCAAGATTTTCTCGCGCTGGATTGCTGACCGCGGCCACATCACCTTCAAATTCCTGGGTGCCTCTGTGTTCAATATGCTTACAGTGAAGTTCAGAGGCAGCATATACTTGCCGTGGACCCGCTATGAAAGTTCCCCGGTATGGCAACTGCTTCTGGGATGAATTTGACCCCTGTGCGGGGCAATCGGAGGAGGGTCACATAGATTGCAGGGGCTGTCACAGGAGAAGCTTGGTCTAAGACCATGTGAGCTTTACTCTAAACTCCGAGTATCCCCCTTAATAATCCCTTTTATGTGCCTCTCAATGTCATCCCCTATATAACCCCCTTTCAGGAGTTTAGACTGCAGCTCATGTAAGATTCACCACGTCCTGAAAGGTCCTTGAGGTTGAGAAGACCAACAAAATACTGGCGAGAAAATCAAAGCAAGGTAAGGGAAAATCCAGGTGGGTCGTTGCCAGGCTTACACGAGGCATATCTGCCCTAATCCCTCCCCCCTCCCGCCCCCCCCACCCTTCCGCCGCCCCCCGCCTCCCCCCTCCCCCTCCCCTCCCCCTCCCCTCCCCCTCCATACATTGGGGGGAAACTGTCCACCTGAAACTTCCGTAGAACAAGAACAGAAATCGAGACCGACCTTCAAGGCTACCTTGTCACGAAGTCCCATGATTTATCGGTTTTCATGTGTTACTTTGTAGTTGCCATTTCACCTTCCACTTGACTTTGCTTTTGAATTCTCTTATTGGGGTAAAATCCAGCTGCAGGCCCCCACGGTTGGCGTGAGGAGCCATTGTCCAGGCCTGATTTCCTAGCGTTCCAGTTCATTGGTCAGCTTTGAAACTCCCTTGCTACTTCTGGCACCTGGCATGAATTTGCTGTTAAGTCCCCTTAGGATTTCAATTGGGAGCTGGCAAGCTGAGCTTTGTGCAGGGTAGAAGACATACTTCATGTGCCTGCGCTCTGTTCTGCCCATGCTCTCTCCCATGCATGGTGATGCCTACTTGTGCCAGGCTCTTGGACAACTATGCTCCGGACCAGCTCTTCGAAGAGTAGCTGGATGACAACTTTTTGTTTGTAAGGGTTGCTGATGTGTAAGAAGTTGAAGTTCTTGGGTTGCGAGGTGGGGTGGAACAGGGCCTCGGCTCAATGGCGACGAGTTCTTGGCACGCGCGATTGAGCGCCACTTGGACTCTGATGTGGCTCGTGGCAAGCTTGCAAGAACGCTCTGGGCTTTTCAGGCCTTACTTTCAGCCACAATGTGTAACACGCAAGTTGCAACCTGCCATCGAACCGGATGCGTCTCATCCCATCGCAGAGCCTTTGCAAGCTGCCTCAGTCAGCTGTAGGATCACCTGCTCATGATAAGAGGTCTGCGCTCTCAACAAAGGAACCAGCGTGTCTACATCGGCGTTTTCATAGATAGGGATCCCGGATATAGACTCCAAAAAAGGGATCCCCCAAAAGGGGCCGCCTAAGCCAGATCCACTGTGCCCTGCGCCCTATACCCTAAGCCTGCAAGGATATGAGAACGAGGCGGCTGCCCAGGAGTTGGTTGCAGCTGCCTGAACTCAAGGACGCACCGGCTAGTTAACCACCTGGTTGCAGAGGGATATGGGGGTCCTGGTTTGGGCTTAGGGTTTAGGGTTTAGGGTTTAGTCCGTATGTTGGGGTTCCCAAGCTTTGGGGTCCTATTTTGGTGTCGTTATAATATGGATTATTTCAGTATTTCGGGTTCGATATTGGGGTCCCCTTATTGTGGGAAAGTACCATATGTAGGGATTCCACAGGGCTTTATAGGGATTATACAGGGATGCATAGCAGTGAAATAGGAGAATATAAGGGAATGAAAAAGAAGGCCTGCAAGTATATAGTTGTATAGGGCCTATATGGGAATTATGCATAGTATATAGGGGTTATATGGGGATTAATTATATATATATATATATGGTACATAGGGGTTATATGGGGATGATATCTAGTATTTTCGACAAGTGGGGTAACATGTTTGGAGGTCCCCATAACAAGGATTAGAGTAATTTGAGGGCAACTGCCATACAGTATTTTGAGGGCAGCTACCATGTTGAGCGACGGCTGAAGCATCCGGACACTATGGCACAGGTCAGCATCACGTTTCTGGCGGGATTGTACCTTTTATGGCATTCGAGACTGTGGTAAAGCCGTCGTTGTTTCCTGGTTGAACATCACATTTCATGATCTGCCTGTCACTCGCCCTAATCCCTCTTTTCAGAAGTTCATGTGTTTTGCAAACTTTACGAGGCATATAAGCACGATCCTGGTTTCAGGACAAGATATCATTTTTTTTGTAAAGTGCCAAGAATCACAGGGTTGATAAGCTCTGGGGTTTAGATCCTCGTAATGGTGGTCGTTTTTGGACACGTTTTATATTTACTCTAAAACTCCCTGAAGGGGTCATATAATGGAGTATTGTAGGGATTATTAAGGGAGGTACTAGGAGTTTAGACTATGGCTAATATTGCGCCTCGCGTCGTGTGTTTGTTTGTATTGTCACCTGGGTGTGTGGTTATCATTTTTTTTGCCATTGGTTTCGTCTTCAGTGCTTGAGCTATGGCCGCTTGAAGGCTTGCGGGAAAGGGTCCTGATGGTTCAGGATAGGGCTTTGGGTGTCGGGGGTAGATGATTAGACGTGGACCAGTCAACTACTGTTTCATTTGCGTGTGCCGTCATGCATGCAGGCAGTCGTCATAGTAGCTTTAGGTAATTTTTGGAACTGACAAGCTCTGCCAGCAGGCCTTCGTGGTACAACCCATTTGTCCGCGTTCAGCTTGCTTGGCGCACGAGGGGAGAGTTGAGCTTAGCATCTCGCTGCTTTTTGCTATTGGCCCTTGGCCGTCTGGCCACTAAAATTGTAAGACTGGTGAGTTCCATGCAATGGAAGCCGGCAGTTGAAGGACAGGACTGGCATGCCGATCCTGCTTAGCTAGACCCGATTTTAATTATTTGTTCAATTGCGTCTGGACAGCGAATCGTGTCCTAGATCACGCAGAATGCGTGTTCTATTGGGCACGCGTACAGTGCTAAGACTCGTGCTAACGGCGGTCAAAGGAGTATAGCCTTGAGGTTCAGCCCAGCGCGCTGAGAGAGATTCTTTGAACGCCGGAGGGTGCCCGATTTTCCGCTGTCTTGCAGATGGATTGCTGTAGCCAAGACTTTTTCCAGGTTCTCAGCAGTTACGACCCTAAGATATAAGGAATGGTGAACCTCTTCTTTGCAAGTCAAAGGGTTACAATAGTCGGTTCGAAACAATAAGTGACTATTCGTGCACATTTTTCTTGAAAAACGAGGTCGTATGTTCTGTGCAACCGTCAGTGCTGATTTTAAAATATTCAGTCAAGTTAGGGTCAGACCATCTGGGCTGCGGCGGCCGTTCGCAACAAAGTGAGTGTTTACCGGCTCTTGCCCGTGCTGTGCGTGGTATAGAAGCCCAATGGCTTTATACCCTAAATCCTAAACCCTTAAACCTATAAACCCTTAAACCAATGTTTTCATGCCAAAGCTGCATCTGGTGCATCGCAAGGTCTGTAGTCTCCCGGTACGTGGAGAATCCGCTGCTTATCCAGGGCTTGAAGTTTGACCTCCGTGTGTCTATGCCTCAGAAGGGGGAGTGCCAAGGAGGCATGGATGTTCTCTAGCTTGAACTTGCTCAAACGCGTGCTGGTGACGTTCTGGCTCGAATATTTTCTCCCCTGCTATGAAGCCTTCGATTGGCTCGGGAGTCTGGGGAAGGACGCAGTAACAGAGCCCCTGCACAAAGGCCGGAAGTACCACTTTAGCAGGCAGACGTTGGCGAGACTGCGGAGCTGGTATAGCTTGTGGATGTTACTGAAGCTGTTGGGAGCCATTGCTTTTTGTAGCTTGCAGGCGATGGTGAGATGGGGCCCAGTGGAACTTTACCACGTGGAGGTTGGGCAGTTTCCTGCGTTCGTGCACATGGGTTCTTGTTGCGCTTGTCGTTTCAGCTGGCCTTGTAGCACGTGGGTGTTTTTTTCTTCAACGATCCCACCGCACGTTGCAGGCCTATGAAGTTGCCTGCTATCCAGATCCCAGGGACAGGATGAAGGTTGTGCCAGAGGATGCTCAGCTGAGATGTTGCGCTTTCAGAGGCTAAAAGAGGGTCGTTTAGCTCACCGCTTTCGTTATCGGATATCGCTTATCCAACTAATGAAATGAGCTATAGTATCTATAGTCTAAACTTCTTAAAGGGGGATTATATAGGGGACTATTATAGGTGTAATTAAGGGGGATACTAGGAGTTTAGACTATAGCTCATGTAAGAAGTCGCTTGGAAGACTTCTGGGTGCTAGCCGAAGTCAAGTACTGCCCGTAGAGATGAGACCCCAACCCCAAGACAAGTGAGTAGTATTTTGTTTGGGGATACATTAGGGTAATATCACCGCAATAATGCAGAATCAAATGGAAAAGAAGATGGAAAATGAACTGGAAGCTGGGATAATATAGGGGTTATACTATATTATAGCTCTTCAATTTTTATTTGGGGATACTATTGTACCCAATGTAGAGTAAGATTAGATCCTCCTCTTGGGGTATAGTATTTTATATAAGAGTATTATCCTACTAGGTTCAGCCACCAAAAAAAAACGCTACTCAACGAGGCAATTCCCCAAATTGCGAGTACCGGTCTAGATCGAGGTCCCCCTACCAGAGTTTAGCCCTAAACCCTAAACCCTAAACCGGCGCTCAAAAAAAAAACCTAAACACTAAACCCTAAACGCATCCCAAGAATGTCTGAAAATAGATTTCCTTGTTAGGGACTGTAGGGGTTGTGTAGCATGTCAGGTTTAGGGTTGAGGGTGAGGGTTTAAGGCCCAGGGCCGTTCAAGAGATCGTGCTTACTATAGGTGGAAATACCAGACCCTCCACACTAAACTCTACACCTTACACCCCTAAGTCTTAAAGTCAGAGTTATATATCTAGAGCCAGTTGAAGTCAAAGCCCAAAATCTCATGATGCTAAACCCTAAGCCCTACGCCCTTATCATACCCGTAAACCCTAAAAACCGAAACCCTAGACAGAGCCTAGATCCCGAGCAAAAGGCGTAGCTTCCCTCACTGACAGTTCAATCCGTTTTGCTCCCTGATCTCTGATCCCTGCTATCTTTCAACCCTAGGGTTTTAGGGTTTTATGGTTGATTTAACCGCTAAAGGGAGACCGCCTCGGCAAAGGTTGTCGTACATGCACTGCATGCTCAAACCAAACAAGTTTCGTAACCTGCGCCGCAGCTCTTGCCGTCCCTGAACCTCACCTCCCCCTGACCTCCCTTCCCATCCCCCCCCCGCCTCCGGCGACCACCTGAACCCCCCCCCTTAACGCCCCTAGAAACTTGAACACAAAGAGCCGATCCTACCCGCACCCGCGGAATCGTGCGCACTGGGAGGGGGTTTAACTTGCCAAAGTCTCCGGACCTGGATCTAAACGCCCCAGGTTAGGGTTTTTTGGATTTAAGCCCTAATCCCTAGCCCTTGACTCCAAATGCCAAAGCTGAACACTCACCCCAAACCCCTGATTTTCAACCTCGAATTCTAAAACCCTAAACCTAGACCCTGAAACCCTAAACCCTAAACCCTAAAACCCAGGCCTTGCTTTTCCTTAAAGCCCAAACCCCAAAACCTAGCCCACAAGCCAAACTTAAGCCACACACCCTGCCACCTCTGAACCCACTCCTAAGCCCTGTCCCCCCACATCCTCCGCCTCAAGCCCTGCTCAAAACCGGATTTGGGGTGTAGGGTTTAGGATTTTTAGGGTGTAAGGTCTCAAGATCCTGATCTATTTTTGGAATTATATAGGGATAATGGAAAAGAAAATGGGAACTAGTATAATTTAGGGTTTAGGGTATAGTCCCCCTTTAGGTAGGTTAGGATTTAGGGTTTAGGGGCTCAAAGCCGTACTCTGCAAAATACCGTCAAGCACCTCCTCAAGGCCCAAACTGCACCCCTGCTCCAAACCGGACCGAGAACCGCCGAGAATTCTGAAGCTATCACTCTTAGGGTTTAGGGTTTGGGGTTTAAGGTTTAGGGTTTGGGGTTCAGCAAATCCCGTGCCTTAAACATTAAAAATTGGGTACTGCAAAATCTCACCCCGGAACCCACACGATCCGTCCCATTGC